TTTTAAATTGATTCAGGCTTAAAAAGATGACAGCCAGGGAAATATAAAAATTACTGGTACAGCCAACATTTAGGGCTCACGTTACAGCTTTCTTGGTTAGTGCTGCTCTACAACAGGCTTCATTATTACCCTGGTTCCTTCTGTCAGAAAAGCAAGGTTTAAAACCTGGCCAGCTAGAAAGCCAGAAAGCCAAGGAACCTGCATTCTGTTAGCAGAAACCCTGGGTGAGTTTCAAAGGCTTGATGCTCATGAGGGCTGGACCAACAGGAGTTATTCTTGGATGGGTCAGAAACAGTGGACAGGTAAACAGAAGCCTCCACCTTTTCCTCTTGGGAGCCAGTTTCTTCAAACATGAAATAATTATAGGTGCCTTGGAGCTGACTTTGCGAGCAGGAAATGAGAAGGTATATATGAAAGCAGTCGGAGTTTATAAAGCAAAAATGCCTGTATAAAGTCCACGGTGATGCTGTTGTAAATGTGGATCTTGCGTGTCATGTTAATATCAGGTCATATGCTGAGGTGGAAGCCACAAGCCAGTCATTCATGAATTTGCCCAGGCTAAGTCCCATCTTCACGGCCTCTGCTTCGGGGAACCAGACCTCCAGGTTCCCACCCTAGCAGGCACGCAGTGCTGGTGCCTCCTCAGATGGGAATGGATGTCCTACATGCTCTCCTCTCTCCCACCCACCCCCAAGCTGTTGGGTCCCCACTGATAGGTTGTCCAGCTGATACTCTTCTCAGGGATAAGGCTTGGCCTCCATCTCTTCCCCACTCTGCTCCAGCTCCACAGCTTGGCTCTTCATGATCAGCTAGAACCTTCCAGAACCTCTGCAGAAATGGTCCTGCTTTGGAGAATGTCACTGGTCATGGCATTCTACAAATGTCCTGGAGACAGTTGCCTGTTGGTCTATGCTGCTTCATTCATGGTGGAAGTTTAAGGCCAAGAGGAGCAAAGGATATGAATCCAAAGGGACGACCCTGGGATGTAAGGTCCCCCTAGCAGGCAGTGACTAGGTCACCTCAGGGAGTGTGGCTTTTTGACTGTTTCTTCTCTGGGTCCTCTAGCAATTTCCCTTAGAGTCTAACTCACTAGGTGGAAATGGGGTGCTGAGATACCAGCAGCACCCAGAGTGCTCTGGACACTGAGTGGCCCAGAAGTAAGTGAACAGTGACTATATTGCTCAGGGCAGGCACAGGCTCCTGAAGACCATCTGCTTTGGGCATTATCCGGAGGCAGCCTGCTTCCGTCAGCATCGGGTGGCCAACCCTGATGTCTATGAGTGTACAGCCAGGGAAACACAGATTTTAAACAATGCCTTCCCTGTCTGAAATGACTCATCTGATATCTCTCTGTCTCTCTGTCTCTCTCTCTCTCTGTGTCTCTCTGTGTGTCTCTCTGACTCTCTCTCTCTCTCTCTCTCTCTCTCTCGCTCTCGCTCTCGCTCTCGCTCTCTCTGTCTCCAGTATGAATATCCAAACTCCATGACACTATCACAAAGCAAGGCTGCTTTGTGGAGTTCAGAGCGCAAGCATGACAGGAAGAAATTAGCTAAGCAATTCTCCCTGCCCTAGAACAGTCTCTGAAGAGCTTCCTGGAAAACCATTAGCCCTCCCTCCTTTTATTTGTTTTTCTCATTTAAAAGGAGCAGTTCTGCTAGCTATTGGGCAGGTGATACATGGTACAGGACAACAGAGTCCTCCAATTATAGGCTATTTCCTGCTTTAGACCTGATGTTGGCATCATCCCTGCCCTGAAGTCATTGCAGAGTAGTGACGACAAAAATTTAGACCAAGGGGTGGATGACTGAGCATGAACTCAGGTCTTACCCTTTTCTCGTCCTGCCTAGTTTCCCTCCTTGCCTTCCCCAGGCTCACCCAGGAAGGGTCCCAGTGAGAAAGCTTTGGTGAAAAGTGCACTGTGGATGCATGGTATATTAGTAGCAACTATGATGGATGCTCCGTCTGTGGGTGACAGAGATCCTTGAGACAGATTTGTCAGTTCACTTATAAGGGTCCTAAAAGTTTGAAAACATTAGCTTCAGCAATAACCCCAGCCAAATCTATCAACTTTGTATAAGATGACAGTAATTCAGGGTAAATGTGTACTAAAAGTTTTCAACCACCTTCAAGGACATGTCAGGTCCCTTTTATAAGTTTGAATCTCCTTTGTAGATGGAAGAGGCTCCTTTTGACCAGAGGTTGAAACCGTCTTAAGCTCTAACCCCATAAATATATGCGGTCCATATGTACTTATTGGCTGTGAGATTTAAAAATTTAGAGCTGGCAAGTGGCTCAGCAAGTAAAGATGTTTGCTATACAAACCTGGCCAATCCCTAGAACCCCCATAAAAGTGGACAGAGAGAAGTGACTTCACAAAATATTGTCCCTTGATTTTCCACATGCATGTGAGTATACTTGGACACGTGTGCACATACACATACAGAGTATTTGTTTTAAAATTTAAAAGATCTAGTGTATCCACACATCTTTAGACGTGTATTGTGTGAGTGTGTTTCACTGTTGATTTTTGTTGTTGTTGTTTGGGGGTTTTATTTGTTTGGTTGATTTTTGAGATAGGGTTTCTCTGTGTAACCCTGGCTGTCCTGGAACTCACTTTGTAGACCAGGCTGACCTCAAACCCACTGAGATCCACCTGCCTCTGTGTCCCAAGTGCTGGGATTAAAGGCACCTGTGCCACCACCCCCTCCTCACTATTGATATTTGATGGTCATAACTTCCTTTTTCCTCCACGTGTGCATTGAGGTGTTTTTGTTCCTTCTAAAACTAATTTTAACTTTTGCCTTTGTGATTAAGTACAAATGTTATCTTTTTATTCCTTGACTTAAATCAGACACAATGTTACAAAGTTTCAGACAGATACAAACTCCCCCCAGGGTCTGTCAATCTTATGATCACCTAGGTGTGTGGGAAAAAAGAATCCCACCCACCACATCCCCTGGCTGGTAAGAGCACAGGTCACACAGGCTGAGTGAGTGCGGGCAAACCCTACAGTCCTAACCTCTTTGTGCCCTCTTCCTCATCTGTGAAGTGGGAATAATCATATTACCATCCCTCTGCATGTGTAGAGTCTTCGAACCATATTTGAGGAATAAAATATATTTGTAATAAATGCTCCCAACCAGGCATGCATCAACTTTGTTGTCATTGTCTAAACAATGCAATCTGACACACACAGTAAATATAACATGATGCGTATAATGTCAGGCATTATTAATAATCTAGAAATAGTTCACAGTCTATAGGAGGCTGTATATAGTTTTATATAAGAGACTTGAGAGTCTAATGAACTCCCGGAGTCCATTTCCATGACGCTAAGGGACAACTGTACCTCCTTAGGGCTGTTACAAAGACTGCACGGCCCAATGTGTAACAGCAGTTACAGTCCCACCTGCCACAGAGCAACTGTTAGTTACATACGTCTGCGCTGTTGCAGCTGGCACGATCATTTCCTCTCTACCCCGCCTCTCCCTTTCTCTGCCCTCTTCTCTCCCTCCCCCACCCACTCAGGGAGCTTGCTTTCCTTATTGTTCCTGCCACTGTGACAAAATATCTGATAAAACAAGACAAGGAGGATTTGTTTGGGCTCCTGACTGCAGAGGGTTCAGTGTGTCTTCCCTCTGCTCCTTATGTTCCTTTATAAATCAGAATCAACTCTCGTCAGTGTTAAAGTTTGTATTTTCCATATCCTCCAAATGCGCTTCTGTTAAAAGCTTGCTTCCTAACTTCTGGTCCTATAAGGGGGTGGTGGAACTTTGAAGAGGTGGGGTTGGGTACATGGAATAGGTGACCTAGAGAAAATACTTTTTTTTTTTAATTTTTTTTTTATTGCGAAAAGAAGAAAAAAAACATAAACAAAAAACAAGTTTCCACCTCCTCCCAGCCTCCCATTTCCCTTCCCCTCCTCCCACCTTCTCCCCCTCCTCCCACCCTTCTCCCCCTCCCCCCACTCCTTCCCCCCCCCTCCCTCTCCAGTCCACAGAGCAGTCCGGGTTCCCTGCCCTGTGGTAAGTCCTAGGTCCTCCCCCCTCCGTCCATATCTAGGAAGGTGAACATCCAAACTGGCTAGGCTCCCACAAAGCCAGCACATTAAGTAGGATCAAAACCCCCTGCCATTGTCCTTGGTGTCTCATCAGCCCTCATTGTTCGCCATGTTCAGAGAGTCCGGTTTTATCCCATGCTTTTTCGGTCACAGTCCAGCTGGCCTTGGTGAGCTCCCCATAGATCAGCTCCACTGTCTCAGTGGGTGGATGCACGCCTCGTGGTCCCGAATTCTTTGCTCATGTTCTCCCTCCTTCTGCTCCTCATTGGGACCTTGGGAGCTCAGTCCAGTGCTCCTGTGTGGGTCTCTGTCTCTATCTCTATCCATCACCAGATGAAGTTTCTATGATGATATGCAAGATATTCGTCAGTATTGCTCTAGGATAGGGTCATTTCAGGTTCCCAATCCTCAGCTGCCCAAGGAACTAACTGGGAACCTCATCTTGGGCACTAGGGAGCCCCTCTAGGGTCAAGTCTCTTGCCCACCCTAAACTGGCTCCCTTAACTAAGAATTGTGGTTCCGTGCTCCCCTATCCACCTTTCCTTTATCCCAATTCTCCTGTTTCCCAGGTCCCCCCTCCTTCCCTTCTACCTTTTCTCTCCCCATCTCCCTTTACCCCCATCCCACCCCATCCCCAAGATCCCATTTTCTCCCCGGAAATTTGGTCTACTTCCCTTAGCCAAGAGGACAACTATATGTTTTTCCTTGGGTTCACCTTCTTACTTAGCTTCTTTAGGTTCACCTCTTGTAGACTCCGTGGTCCTTATTTATGGCTAGAAACCAATTATGAGTGAGTACATCCCATATTCATCTTTTTGGGTCTGGGACACCTCACTCAGGATAGTGTTTTCTATTTCCATCCATTTGCATGCAAAATTCGAGAAGTCATTGTTTTTTACCGCAGCGTAGTACTCTAGTGTGTATATATTCCATACTTTCTTCATCCATTCTTCCATTGAAGGGCATCTAGGTTGTTTCCAGGTTCTGGCTATTACAAATAATACTGCTATGAACATAGTTGAACAAATGCTTTTGTCATTTGATAAAGCATCTCTTGGGTATATTCCCAAGAGTGGTATTGCTGGGTCCAGGGGTAAGTTGATCCCGAATTTCCTGAGAAACCGAAACACTGACTTCCACAGTGGTTGCACAAGATTGCATTCCCACCAGCAATGGATGAGGGTACCCGTTCCTCCACAGCCTCTCCAGCAAAGGTTATCCTTGGTGTTTTTGACTTTAGCCATTCTGACAGGTGTAAGATGATATCTCAAAGTTGTTTTGATTTGCATTTCCCTGAACGCGCCCGATCTCGTCTGAGAAAATACTTTTGAATGGATTTGGAGACTCTGGCCCCGCCTTTTCTCAGTCTGTCAATTCTTAGCCACTATTCACAGAACACTTTCCTTCACGGTAAGTTTCCACCCTAATGTACCCACATCCACCACAGGCCACGAAGCGATGAGTCAACCAGTCATGGACAGGGCTGCTTGCTGAAACTCTAAGACAAGTGAAGCTTTCTTCCTTATGACATTTTTTTTTCATCCCTGGCATTTTGTCTCGCTGACAAGAAGCTGACTGACACAACTACACTCTATGAGATACTCTAGTCCAGTGGTTCTCAACCTGTGGGTCATGACCTCATAGGCTCACATATCAGATATCCTCTATGTCAGACATTTATACCACAATTCATAACAGTAGCAAAATTCCAGTTATAAAGTAGCAATGAAAATAATGTTATGGTTGGGGGTCACCACAACGTGGGGAACTGTATTAAAGGGTCACAGCATTAGGAAGGTTGAGAACCGCTGCTCTAGTTAACTGAAGTTTTCCATCCTCTGTACCCCATGCTATGGTGTGCACATCTTCCTGTTCCCATCTGACTCTTGGTCCATGAGAAGGACCAGTGGACTGCAGATGTGACCAAATATGCAGCAAGTTGGGGCAACCTTTGAATGTCCCTGTCTACACAAGTCCCTTGAGTCTACAGGTCCCCAGAGGACACCCTACACCAGCTTTGTGGGGTACCCCAAGCCGAGGAGACCTTCTTCCCTTTACTTTACAGCATTGGTTCCCTCATCACCTATTCCCAGAACACCAGCTTTCATGTCTCAACCAAAATCTGTTTTGCCAGGGAATTTGGGTAGAGCTGAACATGCCACCCTCCATCCCGCTGAGCTAATGTAGAAAACACTAGTCAGTTCTTCCAGAACATTCCAGACCCCAAGATCCGTTCAGTTTTATTTTCAAGGCAAATAACAACTCGGGAAGGAAGACATCAATATTTTCTTTTCTTCTGAAGGGAAGGATGCCAGTTGTTTGTACGGGGCCTAATAATTCTGCCTTCCCCGAGAATGTGCAGGGGAGAGTTTTGCAGCAAATTTTTACAAGCACAGGGGAGAGAGCGTGACTCAGAGATGGTTGCCCTGTGTGTTCAACCATGAAGTCCATTCCCAGCCACACTGCTGCATCTCAGCCTCTGATGCAGAAACAATCCTTCCTTCCCTGTCCCTACCATGGTCTGTGCTACTTTCTGGAGAGCAGTCTCTCTGGGAGGCTGAATCCAAGGGGAATCACTTTCAAAACCCCAATGGGCATCCTTTAGTTAAAAGGGAATATTTAAATTATTGTTTCAAGGTGTTTATTGGGCTGGGAGCACTCCAGACATAAAAACAAAACAAAGAACAAAAGTAAACAAACAAAATTCTACCAGACAGGGCCTCCCTGACTGTGAAACTGGGATCTTCAGAGAAATCCCATATCATTCCTGGTTGTTATGTCCCTTTATGTCTGAGATAAATCCCAGAAATATGTGACAAATTGGAAAGGGTCTCCCCCTGCGTCTGTCACTAGAGATGTCTTCATTGCCACATGCAAAAAAGAGTCCTAAGCACTAGCTTCATATGTCAGAGGCAAGATCAACTTAAAAGCTTTCTATACTTTTGGCCCCGGTTGCTGCTCATGGCACATCCATGGAATCAGTCGATCATAGATGAAACATATCCAAAAATAACACAAAGTGTGTCAATACTGAGCATGTGCAGACAGCTTTCTCATCATGCTAAACAACTATTTGCATAACTTTGCCATCATATCAGGAGTTATCAGTAATCTAGAGACAACACACAGTGAATAGGAGGAAGTGTGTAGGTTATTTGCAAACATTTGACCATTTTATTGGCATCCAGAGGATCTTGAGACCCATCTCCTTGGATACCAAGAAATAATAGTGTTTCACAGTCCTAAATGTTGCTACTAATGTAATACCACCGATACTTTGTGGTTAATCTAACATGCACCGTGCATGTTAATATTAATATATATTTAATGAACCTTTGTGGTCTCTCTAAAGTTTATTATCCAGGTCAGCTTTACCATTTGGCACTACAAACACAGTGCTTACTAACAAATGTGCTAAGTTATTTACCCTGTAATAAGCACAGGTTTATCTGGGCCCAAAGACCATGTTATTTCCATTCTCTACAGCCCATGAGTAATGGGCAGGTTCTAAGATCACCCCTTCTCCTGTTCAAACACTGATCTAAGTCCTGCTGGGATGGGGTTTTATAGGCAGTACGTTTTCACATCAGTTTGTCTTAAGGTTTTCTGGGTAGGCTGTCTCTAATGCCCGCCCCCCAACAGGACTGTTAGCTGCAGGTGACAAAAGAGCACCTCAGTTTAGACTGTCAGGCTCAGCACGCTCTCCTCTTGGCCTCGGGGGAAGGAGGCCGTGTCACCGTGAATGGCCAGGCATTTCCACACATGGAGAGCAGGCTTTGGTGGATAGCTGCAGAGATGAGAAGGCCCTCAGATGATTGTGTGAAAAGAGCCTCTACGCCTCAAACGAGAGTATAGACAAGGCTGGCCCACTCTGTGATATCCTAAGGGATATCACAGGTCTAACAGTGTTACTATAAAGACATCATCTTCAGTGCTAAGTTACTGATCCCAGGAGACTATAAAATGATTGCTCCATTTTTAGCTTCTCAGTTTGTAGTGAGTTATTACACAAGAATACAGAACTAGCCCAGTTGTCCTTCAGTAGCCATGGGAAAGTGTTATATAGGCCTGCAGATATGTATCCCTTCCATAAAGCAGTTCATATATTCCTAGAAGCTTCCACACCCTCTTGTATCCTTTAAAACATCTCTAGATGAGTCATAACACCTAAGCAGTGTAGATGCTATTTAAGTAGCTGTTTATACCATAGAGTTCATAGAGAGTGACAAGAAAAAGTCTGTGTACACTCTGTACAGATATGGCCTTTCCCCCAAATAGCTGCAACTTGAGGTTGGCTCAATCTATAGATAGGGGATCTATGGGTATAGGGAGATGGATACGCTTCACTTCTTTTATGACGTGGAATGGGATATTTGACAGGAGATGTTGAGAATGGTCTAAAGCCTAGGATGCTCAAGAAGGTCCATGGAGAATGGGGCCAAGGAAGAGAAGGAAGCCAAATGCTTGCGCCTCTAGTGCCAATGATGGCCACAGACAGCATGGACTCAACCCAGGTCATGTGGAAGAGGAGACAAGAGAGCATCATATGTGTACCACATGGGAAGTAGACAAGCCAAGCTTTTGCGGGGGAGGGGGTTTCTAACCTGTCACTGTGTGAGAAGTCTTCCATAGAAACTCAGCTAGATGAGTAAGAGCCCCGGCCCCACTGGAGTTGTATCCATACAACTCCATTTTGTTCTAGAATAATAAGGGCTGAAAGAACCAGTGGCCAGGTCTAACAGTGTTACTATAAAGACATCAATTAGGAAGTCCCTAATTTTACCTGTGGACAGGTGGCATTTGGTGACCGTGCAGCTCCATGCATGTCACATGTATTCTCCGTGTTTACTTCCAGATCCTAGGACTTCTGGCCTAAATACTTCAGCCCCTCCCAGGACCCTCATGAAACAGGGCTTTGAATCTCTTCTACTCCAGGGACGCCTTAGATTCAGGACGGAAGGAATAACCCAAAGCTGTTGCTCCTCTGATTGTTCCTGTCTGAAGGGCTGTCATTGGACATCTCTGACCTTACCAGGTACCAGATGGCTTCACTATGCCTCAACAAAAGCTGTGCTAGTATTTTAAACCCCTCACTAACCTATTTTGCTGTTAGTACCAGTATCCTGGGTAGAACATGACCTCTATTGGGGAGCATCAGTGTTTCCGGCAAAACAACAGCCAGCTACACTGCTGGTCAGCGGGAGGTCACCATACCCACAGCCAGCATGCTCAGGTCTGTGTTCAGCTGGTCTGAGGAGTGCAGGCAGATGGGCACCCCACTCGTGGTGACTGACACCAGGTAGGTGAGATCATCAGATGTGGGTGTGGTCAGCTTGAGGGTGCGGAAGCAAATGTCATCCATGTTGGGGGATACCCAACAAGGCTGCTGAGAACAGAACCAGGGACCTCTGAAAGTGCAGCCCTCTGCCTCAGCCATCTCTTTCATTCTCGTCAACTTCTGATTTTTGACTTTTTACAGTTTTACAGACAGCAAGGACAGTGATACTCTGGACAGTTTACAGTTGTACACAAGGTATGTGTGAGGAAGCATTTGTTTTCATACCCTTAGTCATCTTCTAAAAACATTATTTCAAAGTGTATGTATGAGTCTTTGTCAAGTGTATGGAGACCCAGAGAGTAGTGTCAGATCCCCTGGACTGGAGCTCTGGGCTGCAATGCTTTCAATAGAGGGCCTTGTTTCATCCGCGTTCCCCACCAGCTGGTGCCCGGAAAGTGTGGTGTTGTAGAGTCTGACCTTAGTGGCTAAGACTGTGGCCGATGGTATGACGTCTAAACTAGTGCCACCCTCCGTGCCCTCTGTGTAGGGGCCTTTTGACTGGGTATTTCCTGTGCTTCTCTGGCCTGTCAGAACAAAGAGAATATTCGATGCACACATAGGATCCCGAGTTGTGCCATTCAAACTATGAAGGGCAAGGTGGGACTATTCTTGGGATACCTTGGATAATCTTTCAGACACATTTTTGTCTCCAAAGGGAAAATTTCCATGGGCTAATGACCCTCAAAAAGGCTGAGATGCAGTGTGTTGGGGAAATGTTGATCGCAGTTACTAAGCTACGGCTGAAGGGAGTAGAAGCACTGCTGTGCCGTTGCTATAGAAACAACAATGTTCTGTACATGGCAGAAAACTGAAAGGATTCTGAGTTTTTGCCACACGGAAATGTTGAGATGAAAAGGCTTAGCCTGGTTTTAAGCATTTTATAGTATATACATATGTCAGCTATGGTGTGGCAGCTCATCTTCAACCTTTCTGGTTTTATATCTTGATTTAAAAATAAAAATCACGTTTCCAAGACTTGGGAGTGCGACGGGAAGGGAGGTTGGAAATCAAGCTGAGGAGCTGAATATGGTGGCATGCCAGTAAGACCAGTACTTACATGGGTAGGGCAAGAGGGTCATCCTGGGGTGTAAGAGACTTTCTCAAACAAAAGAATCAACTTGAGGGAAAGGAGCTGCCTCTGAAAACAAGCACAGAGAACATTCTGTAGATACTCTTAATTAGGTATAATTAAAGAGGCAGGGCAAGGCAGCTCTACGCACTTGATCTACAGCTTGCTCACTGAAGTGGTTACCTGGCATCATTGGTCCTTTGAAATCACCTGCAGCCTGTAATGCCCTCTTTAAAAACTTTCATCCTCTCTACCCCGCCCCCCAGGCTGCTCCTCATGGAGACCTTTAACAGCCTCTACAGGCCCACACTCCTCTGAGCTGTCAAGAGAGACCACAGACATGATCTTGTCAGCTGCATAGGTTAGGCCAGGACTTGTGGTCTGTGGACACAGGCTCAGCTGGGCACTGCACACGGAACTGTAAAGCCCATGGCTGCTAGGAAGGGGTGAGTCATCTGGCCAGCTCTCATGGAGCATGACGACATACCGAACACAAAGTTGTCTGGTCTGAAGATCTGGCCGAAGGGTCCTGACCTCACTGAATCCATGGTGCCCGGCTCCAGGTCCACCAGGATGGCCCGGGGTACGTATTTGTTGCCTGTGGGGACAAGAGCTGACTTACAATTGGGCTTGGCAAGGAGATACATGTAGCAGCAGAATTCATTACAGAAATCCCAGCACAGAGACAAAGGAAGAAAAGGAAAATGGAGACATGAAGCATGCTTAATCACACCAGACATGCAGAGGTCTTCAAGAGCTGCAAAGTGCTTTTATTTATTTATTTATTGCAGTTGGCATTTTAAATATGTATGCAAAAAGCATTTCCTTGTTGTTTGCATGGTCCTAAGCCACTTCCTCTGCCACAGTATGGAAAGCAAGGCTGACATCCAAACCCTTACCAGCAGCTTCATTGTAGTACACATTGATTCTCTCCAGCTGCAAGTCACTGTCACCGTGGTAACTGCCGGTGGGGTCGATGCCATGCTCATCGCTTATCACCTCCTAAAACTGAAATGAAGAGAATCACATCATGTTTAGGATTCTAACCGTCACACAGAAAGGCCTTGGTCAGACAGCACAGGCAAGACCCTAGTGAGCTGCTGGCTCTTATGTGTGTGGGCAGCAGCTGCTGCAGAGGGTCTTGGAAATGCGCGGTGCATCGGACATATTATGACCATAGACGCAGGGCTGGGAGAAGCCAGAAGGAAGTGGGCACAGCAGATTCCCTGTCAGAACTGCAGAGGCAGTGGTTCTCTCACTCTAGGCAAGGGTGAATTTCTATGACCCGGAAATCGAAGGCTCCTGATACAGACCCAATATCACGTTGAACGGCTCAAGTTTATAGCTATCATATATACTGGTCTCTGGTCCTAACCATAGAAGAATGGGTAAAGAGAAGAAGCCTGAGAGGGAACAGAGCAACCGTGGAAGGAAGCTGGCTATTATTAGGATACAGCTTCTAATGTAAACCTCAAACAGGAAAGGGGTGGGGGAGACATTTTTGTATCATGCCCATCCACTATACCTGATATGAACTCCCCAGAGTGTCTGGGAGTTATAGCGCTACCTAGTGCCATCACTTGCTGGCTCATAAATGGAAATAAGGCTATCACGTTATATGTCAACACACTTAGACAGTGCCTATGTGAACAGGATTCATTTAGGACCCTCATCCGCATGATACTACATCCAAAACACAAGACCAAACAAAGATTGAAAGTCAATTACAAAAGAGAAACACTCTAGGCTCAGCGACCTTTAAGCATCCGGGACCAAACAGATGTGGAGTTTCTTTCCTAAGAAATGACAAGCAGAGCAGAACTGTGGGTTTGCAGGAACCAGGTGGCAGACTTACGGAGATGAGCATGTAGCAAAATCAGGTCGCTTACATAGGGAACAGTGTTCTCTCTAATCCACAGATCCTGTGATGTTTAGGCAGACAGTGTGAGCATGAGTGCCTGGAAGCAACGCAAAATTTAGAGGCATTTGGAAAGGATTAGCAGCCTGGCGAAGGTGTGGTGAGGCTAAAGCCAGGAGTAAGAAGCAGGTAACTATAAGCAGTTGGCTGCTCTTGCCTCGTTTCAGCTCCCTCCCACGATCTATTATTAAATGAGACTAGCAATGAAACGAAATTGATTGTCTTGAGGTTTGGCCATTGAGTTCTCAAGGTAGCCTCGCATTGTGTTCATGGTCCCTTTGGAGCCTGCTGTACCATGTTCAATGATGCTGCCACACTGATAGGTGTTAAAGATGTTGTAACTGTACATTTCTGAAAGAGGAGACTATGGTGACTTGAGAGCCTGTTTGGAGATTCTAGCAAGGGAGTCCAGTTACTCACAAACTCTCAACGGAAGTCCTGTTTTGAGAAAGGTTATTCTTTTCACAAAAGCACATAGACTTGGGAAAGACTCACATAGAGTGCTAAGGGAGGAATGGGACACCCACCTAGCCACTCAGCTCAGTCAATCTTGGTGATCCACGGGATGATAGCTGCAACAGCCAAGTTGCCCTCACATCTGTCTGTGGTGGTTGAATGAGATTTGGTGTTTGCCCTGCTGAGTTCCGGTCTTGTTTGTGTACAGTATTTACTCACTATGCCCAAGTCCTCCATTTTGGAATGGTGACATATATTCTGTGCCATTGCGTATAATTTGCTATTTATTGTATAAGAGGGTACAGATAACTGTCTCTCAAAGTGTTGAGTCTATAAAAGTCTATCAAGACTTTTGAAGTTCGACTAAATGCATTTTACATTCTAATATGGCCATGAAACCTATGAGGACCACGGTGAGGAATGTTGTGTTTTGAACGAGAATGTCCCCTGTGGCTCATGGGTTTGAACATGAGATCCTCAGTTGGTAGCACTATGTAGGTAGGCTTAGGGAAGTGTGACCTTGTTGGAGGAAGTATGTCAATGGAGGAGGGCGCTGAAAGTCTAGAGACTTATGCCACTTCTAATTTACTCTCTGCTTTGTGCCTTCTGTTCAAGATGTGAACCCTCAGCCTACTGCTCAAGCCACCATGCCTGCCTGCTGCCATGGCTCCCTGCAGTAATAGTAATGGATTCTTAACACTCTGTAACTCTAAGTTCAAATAAGCCGTTCCTTCTATAGTTGCCTTGGTCATGGTGCTTTATCACAGGAAAAAAATAATATACATAAACATAAAATAGACCAGAGGGGATGAAAATTCCTGAAAAGAAGCTGTGACTGGCTGTGAAGAAAATACTCCTAGAAGGAGCTCGTGTCTGCAAAGACTGATGGATCAATTGGAATTTCAGTACTGTGAAGAAATTGGAACTTTGTAGGTTCAGAGGTTAATTACTTTATCTTGGCCTAGTTTTAGCCTCTGGGAGAGCCATTCCTTGCCCCACTCAGTATTAAACTGACACCTCATGATTATAAATAAAAACCTCTTAGAAGCTATTAACTTACCAGAATACTAGTTTCCAACATTCCAAGAGCTAAGAATATCATCAGATAACATCTTGGGTCTCCAGAGAAGCCCCCATTTCGAGATATCCACCTCTCTGGTGTACCTACCAATCTATTTCCAACTCGCCTTGATGGATGAATTCTCTTTGTTCTATGAAACCATAAAAAATTCATAAAACTGCCTCCACAATCGAACACGGACTTTGGGGTAACCTAATTTGTGGTCTTGGGCCATCGACATTTAAAACAGCTCCAGAATGCAGCTTATTCCCTTTAAGATGAGTTTTGGCTTTGATGCCAGAGCCAGAAAGGACAACTACTGAAGCTAAGTGACAACATGAAATCCAGACTTGAGGTTGGCAAGTTGCTGCCTGGGAAGGTCTGTGCCAGGAGGGTTTGAGATGCAAGTGGCATGATATGGATTCTGCTGTTTGTGTTCAGATAACTTCTTCTGATACAGGTCTGCGGGAACATACAGCAGTCATCTCTGAAAGCATAGGTATCCCCCAGGAAGTCAGGAGCACGCCCTGACAAGTGCTAAGAACTCACATAGGCGTTCACTAGTTCTCCAGCCATCTTCGTGGTTTTGGTAACACATAGGCGTTCACTAGTTCTCCAGCCATCTTCGTGGTTTTGGTAACACATAGGCGTTCACTAGTTCTCCAGCCATCTTCGTGGTTTTGGTAACACTGTCCGTCATCTTCCAAAGCGGAGCATGGGGAAGTGTGGTGCTCATGGAGAACCTAAGGGATGATCTGTTCAGTGGTCCTCTACACAAAGCAATCCACCCATGGCCTCCTGTATTATTAGCCTTTTCAGTGTCTTCGAAATGAAGAACTTCCGACTCTGTACCCTCTTGAGGGCTTTGGTGGGGAAAGAAAGTTGGAACCAATTTTTTATGCTTTGTTTTTGCATATAATATCATTTTGTGGACTTTTTAAATTGCCTGGTGTCTGAAAAAATTCAAATCAGAGGTAATAGAACAGTTAATGTAAAGAAAGAAGACAGTATGCTTAAATAATTGGTAGGAATTCAATTCAATTAAATTAGGTGATCTAGAACCATTATAAGCCATTGTTTGAGTCAACAGTTAGGCACCAGGAGCTTCCTCAAGAAGACATACAGGATTTGACTGTAACACAGCAGGTTCAGAGATTTCAGTCAGTTCTTAGTGCATCTTTTATAAATATGAATGCTCATGGGTTAGTAAAATAGCCATGAAGCATAGGTACTTTTATCACCAGACCTGACAGTATGCTGTGAATATGTTTTATTACCATTGGTTAATAGACAAGTTGCTTCGGCCTATGTCAGGGCAGAAAATCCGAACAGAGGTATATATATAGACAAAAGGCAGAGTCAAAGAGATGCCATGTAGCTGCTGAAGAAGAGAGATGCTGGAATCTTACCGGTAGGCCACAATCTCATGGTGAGACATAGATGAATAGAAATAGGTTAACTTAAGATGTAATAGCTAGCTAGAAATATGTCTAAGCCATCAGCCAAACAGTGTTGCAATTAATATAGTTTTTGTGTGATTATTTGGGTCTGGGTGGCTGGGAAATGAACGAGCAGTCTCTGTTTACAATCTGAGTTCAATCCCTGGGACCCCACAGGGTAGCAGAAGAGAACCAATATTAATTGCAACACTGTTTGGCTGATGGCTTGGACATATTTCTAGCTGGCTATTACATCTTAAGTTAAGTTCTCTGACCGCAACATGTGTGCCATGGCACATGCAATTTTCTCCATAAATAAATATAATTTTTAAAAGCTTTTTTAAGAGTCAGAGAAATGATTCAACAGTTAAGAACACTTATTACTCTTGCAGAGGACCAGCAGTCAATTCCTGGTGTTTACTACAACTCTTGTTCCAAAGGATCTAAGAGCTGATTCTGGCCTCTGTGGGCACTAGGCACTCACATGGTATACATACATACATGCAGACAAATACACACATATAAAAATAAAAATAAATAAAATTTAAAAGATATTTTTGAGTATGGATAGAGCTGGAGAGATGAGTCCTAGGTTAAAAGCACTTATTGTTCTTATATTGGAGTTCAGTTAAGAACCCATGTCATGCAGCTCATGCAGTCTATAACTCTAAATTCAGGGGATTTGAAACCTCTGTCCTCCTTGGACACCTTCAATCGTGGGCACATACTGACACAGGGACACACAGAGATACATCATCAAAACCAAACAAACAGAAAAAGATCTTAAAACATGAAGAGGCAATTGAATATTAACGTACTAGGAGAGTCAAGCAAACAAAGAGAAAGGAGGATATGTATATATTATGTAGGGAGAAGGAAAAAATGTAAAATCTCAAGAGTAGCTTTAGATAAGACAAAAGAGTGAGCCCACGAAATACGAATAGCAAAACTGGCTAGGTGTGGGGGCTCATGCTTGTAATCTCAGCTCCCAAGGATTACCATGAGTTCAAAGTCAGAATGGGCTACACAATGAATTCCAAGCCAGCGTAGGCTACAGAGGCAGACCATGTCTCAAAATAAAATAGTAAAACACTATTTCGTGGACTCACTGTTTTGTCTTTTTTATTTTAAAGAACAAAAAAAAAGGTTCTTGGGAACCACAAATGTAATAATATCAAGAAAATCCAGTGGAGACACTGGAAGAAAAGTCGGACAAGTCCTGAAGAAAGTAGAGTTTAAAAAAAAAAAGTGTGGGAAGCGTGAGAGAAACATAAGAACAGTCTGGGAGGTCCAAGACCAGATAGAGAGGGGCACTGCAGAGAAGAACTGGGGAAAACCGAGGGAAACATGGAACATGATCATATAAACACATGAGGATACAAGTCTCCACGGACGACCTAACACTTCTTACAACCTAAGGGCATGATGTAGCCACTTTGAAATGAATTTTCTCAAACCAGTTCCTTGGGAGAAAGACAGAGATTTACCCATGAAACGTGGTGCAAACTAGAGAGAATAGGATGGGAGAAGCCACAAGCTGAGTTGGTATCAGTCATTCCAGAGAACTCTTCAGAGATCCCCCAGTTGAGGCAAGGGAGTACCTCCCTATGCCCCCTTTCCCCTGACCAGTCCTGACCATCAGGGCTATGATTCAGGGAGGCTATTCTCTCAACCCGAAGAGAACGCTGACAAAGCCATACCCTGATAGCCTCGGCTACCCACAGCTACGGAAATGAAAGCTTCCTAGAAGTCTGGCAGTCTCTACAACATCTGCTTCGTTAGTTAAATGACAGACTTGTAGTTTTTAAAGTCTAAAAACGTGTGTGTTGACTAAGAGCTCCTCCTAAGGAGACATGACCTCGCTGGTGTCTGCAGAAGGCGTATACTGCTACCCACAGTGCGGATGAGCACAACCTTGGCTGGAAGCTAAGTCTGGGTGTGGTGGAGGCAGTCCAGCACTACCTGTCTGTGGAGTGTGGATTCTCTCTGGCTAGAGCAGGGCTATTAAAACACGCATTGCTTTTCCCCAGGCAGGTGCTCCTGCTGTTGGCTGACTCCACGTCTCTCTCAGTTGGGTCTGAACACAAGTAGAGGAAAAGCGAGTAGTTTAACGAAAAACTTCAGCACCCACCCCTCACTCTGCACCTTTGCTTATAATAATTTCATAGTTCTCAGAAGTGGTGAATTACAAATATTTGTGTCTTTAATGATTTTTCGATTTCCAAAAGACTAGTAATCTAATAAAAATAAAGTAATACGAAACTTACTTAGGCTTTTACTATCATGCAAGTTACAAAAATGGAACTAAGTTCTCATTTACCAAATCTATGTCTTCGTCTCATCTATATTCTGCTAATTCAATTGGAGCCTATTAAGTGGAGAAAGAGAGAAAATCAATTATCTCTTTATGTGTGAAGAAATTGGCTCAGAAGGGTTAAAGAAGGCTCCTCCCTTCCCCCAACATCATATAATACCAGAAAGAAAGGAAGAAAAAAAAGACAAAACAAAAAAAACAGTAATTGCATCTCCTGATGCAGACAGCGCTTTTTCTGGAGTTTCACATTCAAGCTGTTTCCTAGGCAACCAGCTCCCAGCCTCCAGGACTGTCTGCCTGAACTCAGAGGAAGGGGGAATGCAGCCAATGTCTACTCACCCCCTCATTTCCTGTCTTAGTGATGATGCTGCAGCCCTTTGTTGGGGTGTTAATGTGGCGAAAACAGAAAGCCCAGAAGCCTGTCCGTGAGATTCTATTTCAAATGAGCTATTTCCACTCACTGAAGGTCCAGATCCATTGAGAACCTTGCTTGTGAGAGCACTGAGCTCATTTCTATTTTTATTCAAACCCTGGGTTTTTTCGGGGGGGGGGTTGCGGCGGGGGTGTCCCTTGAGCAAGAATGAGTCTCCTTTATTCACATGAGGTGGGACCCTTTGAGACCCATGAGAAAAGAAAGCCCTCCCTTCCCCCTAGCCCTGCCCATGGGAAAAGGCTTGCCAGTGTGCTCTCCAGTTCCCAGACCAGGACGGGGACAGGACTAGCATGTCTCTGTGTCACACATCCTGTTTGGCCTGGTGCCAGGTGTTTGCTTATTGTCTACTTTCCCAGCAGACCTGGAAGATGATCACCAGGACTTAAGGAATTTGCTTCCCAGGTGAATAGGAAGAAGAAATAACTGCCTTCCACGCCATCACCACCTTCACCTTTCCACCCTTCTCCATGCAAAGCATTTCCTTTACCCATTAATGAGAAGCAGAGACACCCTGGCCCTGCTGACACCTATGTGGATGTAATCCCCTCTGGCGTATGGATAAAATCTATCTGCTCTGGTAATATATGGAAGGACACATCTGTGGGCCAACCTGTTACATCTTCACTTACGGCTTCAGATATCAACCACCAGTTGCAGAGGAGTCTCAGATCGTGGTCAAGAGACAGCAGCCTCACTATGGTCCTGGCCCACAGGGCTGGGGAACAGAGGGCTTGTTCTGCAGTGTATGAAGTCATTCTCTGCTGGGATCTGGAGCTGATGGGTGAGAGTGCCCGGCAAAGACCTGGACTTGACAGGGTACGGATTCAGGCTTTGTGCTCCAGAAAGGGCAGTGCAAGAGGGAGCATAGGGGTCAGAGAACTCTCTGGCAGGCAGACAGACAGGGAAAGAGGCCATTCATAAACAATAAGATGGCATTCTTCTGGCTCCTTCCTCACTCAGGACAAAGAGTTGACAGTTTCTTTCTCCCATGATGGACTCCCTCTGGTTGGTCTGCCCTGACATACCCTAGGCAGTCCCCGACTCTGGACACTACAATCCGGCTAGCCCACTCTTCTTTGTCTAATTTGACCAGTCCAAAATGAGGGAAGGGGGACCCGCCCTCTACCACTAAAGACACCTAAAATACCCAATCCCTCCTGGGGAGGTGGAGATTTCAGTTTCTGGATCTCTTTCCTATTCGAGGTGAGTTTGTCTTTGGGGGTGGGGCTATGAGAATTCACTTTCACTTTTAATAAAACATGTTAGCTTGCTGTGACTGTGGCTTATTCCCTGCATTTTAATTCTTTAGTCAATGAACTCAACCCAAGACCCCTAGACAGTAACATTTTGGGTGGGATTCATCTATAATTTGAAGACTGCTGACTCATTA